CATACCCCTGCCAGTTGGAGGACACTTCGCAAGCTCCCTCTTGCCCCCAGGTCATTCAAGACTTGGGAGTCGGGGAGCGTATGACATCTCCTTTCACTCTGCTCCCATCCTATAAGGAGCGCATGGCGCTTAGAAGCACCACGCCCCTGGCAGGGCGGGAGGAGACTTTGCGTGCTCGCCCTGCTCCAGTCCTGCAGGTTCTGACTGGCCTGGGGGCAGAGGGAGCACAAGAAGTCTTTCGCTCCCTACCCTCAGACGTGTGGTGCTTAGAGTCAACTGCTAGGGTTGACTCTAAGTGCCGTGCACTCCCCAGTCCTTAGGCCCTGGTTGGCCTTGGGACAGGGTAGTGGCAGAGCTTCTGTGAGCTGGATTAACCCGCTTGGTGGGCCAAATCTGGCCCATAGAGGCCCTTTTATCTACCCCTGCCTTAGGGGCTGGTACTTCTCAGTTAAGGTTTGGAGCAACAGCACCAAATCTCTCATATCAAGGTTGCCATAAAGGCCCAAGATTTTTCATTCCAGGGCACTCATAGTCGGACACAAGGTCTGTGTGGCAAACTAGGTAAATAGTTGGCAGCACAGTTGAATCCGGACCACTGTCTCAGGGATTCACATAGATATTTGTGATGCCAAAACAGTGATGCCAAAACGGTCCCAAAACAAAGCAAAAATCTGGGTGTAATTCAAGTCCTGTGCTAATTGTATATTACAGTGCCAGTGAGAAGCACAGGCAGGACCAGAGAGAGTCATTGACAGAGATATAAGTGAGTGAGAGATGTGGAAGACCAAACAAACATTCACAGTGGTCTTCATGGTACAAAGGCAATCCAATCTACCCCCTGAGAGGGGCACTAGCCCTCCACCTAAGGCCCCATCCTTTCTAGAGGCATGAAGTCAGCCTCCTGCCTTGTCCAGGGGCCCAGTGAGTCTGTTGGCCCCACTTCCCTGAGACTTATCCTTTAGCCAAGTGTACTGCTCAACAGTGGCATGAGAGAACCACCCAAACATCCACTAGCCTAAAGGTGTGCAAGGAATACAGTTCCTTGGCTGACTGAGGGTGTGGCTCCTCATGGTTCCTGTCTAAAACATAATCTAGAGGAAAATAACAGTATCAGGGTCAGAGCCAAGCACAGCATGGGCAATTAAATTCAGAAAGGAGACATGATCTAGCCCCAGAGTAGGGGCACAAACAGTAAAAAGATTAACGATAGTACCAATCTGTCCCCAGAATGGAAGATCTGGCCTAGCACAGCCTCTTTCATGGAGAGGATCTGTGACCTTGCTCCATGGGAAAAGAGAACAGCATCCCCAGCAGAGCCCATGGCTTAAGAAAGTTTCCCTTTCCCATTCCTTCAACCAGTTGCCCTGATTCTCAGGGTATAAGTGCATCTCTGCAAGAGGACAAAACCAGTCTGTGTTTGCCTGAGAAACTAGTGATCATCCTGACAACCTTTAATATTTACAGCCTAGAGTCTGGAATAAGGGAGGGAAAATACTGGCCCACAGGCTGGGCCTAGTGCACCAGGGTTTGCATCTGGCGGGCCTCCACCACTATCTTTACCTGCACAGTCATTAGCGACTGCAGCTTTGCAGCTCCCATGGGCCACAGATAACTGTTCCCAGCCAATAGGAGCTGCTGGAAGTGGTGTCCCAGTCTGCTCTGCTTCCATTGGTTGGGAGCAGAGATTGCTGGTACCTGCGGCTGTTCAGGTAAATACAGTGGCGGCAGTCTGCCAGAGGCTAACCCTGCCAAACTGCCCCCATGTTACTGCCCACCCCTAGACTAGGAGAAAGCCAAGCAGCAGAGACAAACAATGGAAAGTAGAAGTACTCTGAACAAAACGAGCAATGTGAAAGGCTGTGGAACTTCAACAATCCCCACACACTTCCTCACTGTATTCAAAAAACTTTTCGAGACTAACTGTAGGAAAACTCTCAACTAAGGTCTCTCTCAAGACAAAAGCAAAGGAATTAACAAAGACCCATAAATCAGGGAAACAGGCCTCAACCTCAATTACCCGCTTCCCTTTAGTGCTATCCAAAAAGTCATCAATCTGCTTCATACTGTTTCCACCCTTCCTACTGTGCTGCCTTGTTGGGACATCAGGAACCAGTGACGGAGACAGAAATCATCATCATCCTCTCCCTCACATTGTGGCAGCTCAGAAAAACACTGAGCTGCTATTGTAAGTGTTGCCTCATTCACAAAGGAAAGAGATTCAGTGGGAGCAGTTTGCATATCTATTTTCCCCAGGACAGTAGGTAGTGTAGCCCCAGGCTGGAACCCAGCACCATCTCCAGAGCATGCAGGATCATGGGATTAAGGACTCATCGTACTTCACTGGGAGCTTCAAGCATAGTGCTATTACCCAACTCAACACTATTCTCCTCCTTGGTGCACATAACTCCATCTTTGGCCACTGGCAGCAACACAGGGGTCTCCAGAGCCCTAGACCTTTTAGAAATAGTCCTGCATAAATCTGTCTTGTTGGTCTGTTCTTTACACCCAGCTCTAGAATCTGTCTCTGCTTCTTCCACAGGGAGGTGCTCCTCAATCTCCAGCCGCAAGTGATGGGGTCACAACCTCTTGAGGGCAGCTCCCTGGGCAATGGCAGACCACACAAGGTGAGGGAGACAGAATCTGGCAGTGCCGATTCTCTGTCTCCTATTGGCCCCTTGATGTCCCAGCCTTCTCCCTGCTATCCTAGGATCCCACAATATTATCAGGGACCTCCAGCCAGCAGTGTGCGAGCATTAACCCCTCACCAGAGTCACCACATAGACAATGTTTCCTATTTTCAGAGACAGCAAACACTGCGTTAGCTACCTGACCTATGTGATGCCCTAAAATGAGATTCAAGGGCTTTTGCAGGGTTATTTACAACCACATAAACCTGGCACCAGAACAACATAACACACTTCGTAGGTAGATCCTAGCAGCCTGACAGAATCATCCTAACAGCAGTAAGTATCTTCCCATAACAGGAAACAGCAGACACAAGCAATTCATTGCGCGGGGAGTGGGGGGGAAGGGGGTGTAGGAAAAACTACTTTAGTAGAAAGAGCAAACAAGGGAATAACTTGAACAAAAAGACTCCTTGACCTAGAGTCCCTCCGATACCAAACAACTCAGAAACTGTTAGAGTATGTCTACACTACAAAGTTAATTCAAACTAACAGCCGTTAGTTCAAATTAACTTTAATAGGGGCTACACATATAAACCGCTAGTTCAAATTTAAATCGAACTAGCGGAACGCTTAATTCAAACTAGGTAAACCTCATTCTACGAGGACTAACGCCTAGTTCGAATTAAGTAGTTTGAATTAAGGGCTGTGTAGCCACTTAATTCGAACTAGTTGGAGGCTAGCCCTTCCCAGGTTGCCCTGGTGGCCACTCTGGG